GCTAGAAGCCTAAGGAGAGACAGGAAGCCCATAGCGCATGTGAGTAGAGGCCCCAGAGAGGGGGCATGAAGACAAGGTAAGTCTTCGGATGCCTGAGGCCAAGTTTGGGCCAGAGGCCGAGTGTGGCCCAGCAATGGGGTTGGGGGAGTAATAGTGGATTTTGGATGCCATCTGTAAGACATGGAACATGGTATAAGGGAAGGTTCAGAGCTGTGTGTAATGTCCTACGCATCAGGGCATTAAATGGGCAGCCTCCTGCATTGTTACATCTGGTAGTATTACAGCAATGCATGGTGGGAGAATCAGGGTGGACTGCCCTAGCTGGGTGGGTGGACTGACATTATGCCCGGCCTTGAGACGGTCCCCATCACAGACTGAAACAGCAACCTTGGATTAATCTGGTCAATTTGGGCCAGTCCAGATTCCTCTGCATTAATCAGAAAAAGTCAGTCCAGACCAGAGAGCTCATGATTTGCTGGGTAAAATCAGGGCAGCAATTTTGGTTTCATTTAAATTAGGCTACTCCAGTGATTTTAGGATTTACTGGGGTCAAATCAAGCCAATCTGTCAATTTTAGATCCAATTGGTTGGGATGAGAACAATCCAGTGATTTGGGGATCAAGGGATCATGTTGGATGGGTCCTGGACCCTCAGGATTATTCATGTTAAATTAGGCCTGTTTGGCCACTTTAGGATTAATCAGGTCAAGTAGGGCTAACCTAGGGATTATTTGGGTCAAGTTGGGCCAGCTGTTTACCCTCAGAATTATTTAGCTCAAGTGGAGCCTGTCTGTCAACCTTGGAATTATCTAGGTTGTACTAGGCCAGGCCAGAAACCTAAGAAATATTGAACCTACATGAATTAATTACTTACTCAGAATGAATAAAAGGTGGCTGGACCTGGAATAACCCCATGTGGCCTAGTTCTGTTTGAACTCCATATGTCCTGAATCAGTGTGGCCTGAATCATCTTGAACTGATGTGGCCCCTCTCAGCATGACCAGTTTGTAATGACCTTGTGTGGCCAGACTTAGCATAACCAGGAGGCAGTCCAACTTGGCATGACCTATGTGTTTTGACTTGGCATGGTAATCATGTGCCCCAACTTGTCATGGCTCTTTTGTGAGGCCTGACTCAGTGTGGTCTAACTTGACATAATCATGTGTGCCTGAATTTAACCTAATCTTAGTGTGGCCTGACCATATGTGGCCACACTCAGCATAAATTCTGTGTAGCCTGATTTGGCATGACTCCCAGATGCCGCAAAGTTGTGAAATCCTGTGTGGCCTGACATGGCCTGGGAAATACTGCCCCTGCCCCTCCGCCAATGGCCTAAGTCAGTGTGGCCTGACCTGGCACAGTATGGGAACTTTGAATTGCAGGCCTTGGAGTCAACCTAACTTGGTTGTGTGGAGACAAAATATTTGAGCTACATTTATTGAAAATGGGGGAGGAAGCCTTTCCTTAACAATGTGAAGGCCTTAGTAGAAGCCCCAGTGGTCAAGACAAAGAAAAATTAAATTGATTCTTGCACTGGCCAGTTATTATTCCACAGTTCTCCTCTGTTGGATAAACTGTGCATTATGGCACCCTGGCTGTAGCATATCCTGGCATCCTGGCATGTGCAGGAACGTTTGGAGAAATCAAAAGGCTACTGTGCACTGCTCCAGTTTTGTGCAGCCTGGATTTTGATGCCTGGTTTATCTTGCAAATGGATGCCACAGAGCGATCTGTTCTTTCACAGAAATTTGAAGATGGAAAACACCCCTTCCTCTTTATGAGCTAGAAGATCCTGACCTGAGAGCAAAACCATTTAGTCATTGTAAAGTGTCTCACAATAAAAGTGGGAAGTTGAGCCTTCTGCTATTATTGTCCAGGGGTCCCCTTCACTATCATTACTGATTATACCCATCTAACCTGGTGGAAGGCAATGCATAGCACCAACTCCAGACTCATACGTTGGCACCTGGTTTTGCAGCCATATACTTTTGAGGTTTGTCTTTTACCTGGAACCACACAGACAAATGCAAACTTCTCATGCGAAGGAAGGGGTTAAACACAGAAAAGCAAGTCTCCAACTTCACTTTTATGTGGGGAAGTATGTAGCAAGATGCCCTGTCCCCTTAAGAACAGTTAACCAGCCTGGCTAAGTTGCTGCAACTGTGATAAGGCAACCAATGAGGGAGTAGCTTCCTGGGAGTTAAAAATTCCAGAAAGCTGAGCCACTTGATGTGAAAGGAGGGAGGAGCAGGGTGTGAAGGGAAAGCCTTCTGTGTGAAGGCCAGAGACACAGGGGACCACTCCCAGTGCCTGGGGCAGGACATTTTATTTATTTTCTTTGTTTGTTTAATGCTAGAGCCAGTTCAGAAGCTGTCCAGGGAACAAAAACCTGCCTGAAGAAGCTCACTGGTGGTAACATGCTTACAGTCATGAATCATTCCAGGACTCTCCAAAAAGAAGCCTTGTCCAGTCTCCTTCCCAAAGCACCCCCTGGAAACAACCCTGATGTGGCTTCTGGAGGGGCAATCTTCTGTCTTCAAGACTGGCTTTTATTTGTCCCTGACTCCCTCAGTAATCCATAGCACTTCCCACCTCAGATCTTTGCTCAGCTACTGGGAACAGGGGCATTTTTCTCTTAAACAGGATTCAGAATGCTGACATCCTAAACAGTATGTCCAACAAGCCCACTCCAAACAAACAATCTTTAATAAATTGCACATGTAAATGTTCCCTGTAGTATTAACATGGGGAGTAATATCCAACCACAAGAAGCATAATACTATGGAGAGCTAATCAAGGAGCAGTCTCTCTGACCTGCTGTCTGATCCAGCCTAGCATTTCCCTTAACCTATTTACAGAAGCTATTTATAAAATATATGCGCACTCTGAGCCAACCAAAATGTTCCCCACAAGAACAGCAAGTTTAAATGCAATCCACATAGCCTCTTCTGTCAGATTACTGGGATAGCAAATTGCATCAGCAGAAAGCTGAGACATTAGAGGATTATGAGCATTTGGAAAGAACAGACAAAGGAATCTGGTTTTACCTGTGCAACGGCCTACCTTAATGCATGTATTTCCTGCCCATGTTAAATAGGGCAGCACTGACTATTGCAGTTGAGCAACTGCATAGGCTTTTAAAGTGATAACTGTATGAATTATCCCAATACCTTTGTGGCCACACCCTCCAAAGAAAAGCAGATGACTGCTTAGGCATTGTGTAGTGTCAGCTCTGAGTGTTAAAGGAGCAGTTTTCACATTACAGTGACTCTGGTAATGTCTCTATTGAGATTCAAAAGTTCCATTTTTTTCAAAGCATGGATGAACTGGATGGGTGTCCTTGTCTGGGAAGAGGAAATTTAGAGCCAAACTTCATGACATGAACCTGGAGAAAGACAATGTGCATCAGCAAAGGGAACATAAGTTTCATCTTCTTCCTCTGCTCTTTCATTCTACCTATGCACTCAGGTAAATGCTTAAAATACTCAAAGGTGATGGGAATTAGAATAAGTCTATGGGGACAAATATTTGTTTATTTTTAAGCTATTTTAATTAAAAATATTAAATTAAAACCACTTTGCAACAGCTTAAGACAAAGTAGTTTTGAATGTGAAATATTTGTGTGCAAAATTCAGGGGTTAAAAGCTCCCTGAGGTGCCTAAAATTAATGTGGAACAAAGCCCTAAGCAGGAGGACAGAGGAAACTGCAGAGGCACAATAAAGACATTGCTTGAAGTGGACCTGTTGTCTGTAGTGTTTGGGCTGTCAGCACTCTGACTCCTCCCACCTCTTTGAAGAGAAAAACATGACCTAACACTAGAACAATCTCATTAAAAGGAAAATTCATGAACAAAAACTAGAAAGAAACTATAAAATATAAAGGATATTTTCAATTTTGGTGAAAGGAAATTAGTCAGCTGATATTTTACTAAAATTATGTTATATTAGTCCCAGAATTTTACTGGTCATGTCTACATGTACAAATGCTGCAGGATGAGTTTACTGCTGAGTAATTTACTCTGGAGCAAACCCACCCTGGGCAGGTGTCTACAAATGTGCAAATTTAGGAGTGGTTTGTTGCTCTTGCCAATATATGTTACTGCCCCCTCCGCCTCTGCTCTGGCTCCCTGAAGTAGCCAGGGGGAGCCAGAGGCTCCAGCCACAGATGCCTGTGGCCAGCAGCCATCTGGAAAAGGCAGCTCTACTCTCTGATCCTGCCTACCTGTCTTCCTGGTCTAAAGCAGCCTGTAGCATGCTGACACAGTGCTCTGTTGTCAGAGTCTGTGCCCATCAGAGTCTGTGCTGCTCCACTTCCAGGCTTAGGGAGTGAATTCCAATGTCCCAGGTTCCTGCTGGCCACCCTGGTCCCTGTGCTGTGTTGTGCTGCCATTACGACCACAACCTGGTTCAAATCAGTAGGAGCCCTGGTAGGGCCCCCACACAGTGCGGCCCCCTGCCCAGGCTCACCATGGCATCACAGGTCACCTGGCACCACACTGCTGCCAGCTGGACCCTGGCAGGGACTCTGATGATGCACACCTGGATGCCACCAGTGGTGCTGTCCATGCACTCCTGGGGCTCCAGCCCCCACCACCTGTGGGACCACCTGGCCAGCAAGGACTGGTATCTGCATATTGTCCAGAACACCTGGGACAGTGGCTGGCCTCCTTTTGTATGACCCAAGCCACCTTCAAGGACCTCCTCAAGCAGTTCTGCCCACACCATGGTGGTGGCCCCTACTCGTGGACACCCAGTTGGCCATTGCCCTGCTTGAACTGCCCACACCAGCCAGCCTGCACTTCACTGCGCTCCCACTCACCCAAAACCCCCCAGTGACCCCCAACAGCCACGGAGCACCCTGTCAACCCCCAGCACAGCTGGAGGTAACTGGGGCCTATGGTGGGAGGGGGCTAACCCCAGGCAGTGGGAGGAGGCGACTGAGTGGGCTGAGGAAGGTCTCACCCTGCCCCGGCCCCTACTTGGCCCAGCCCCCCAGGGAGAGAGTAGTGAAGGGGAGAGGGTACTTACCAATCCCTCTCCAGTGGGGCAGGGTCCCCTAAATCCCGGGTAGGGTCCCCCCTAGCCCGGGAAAAGCATACCACCAAGGGTGGGCCCACTGTGCATGCGTGCAGTTTAAAAGGGCCTGCAAAACCAAAAAAAAACCAGTCAGGCTCCGGGAGTGGCGAGAGACACACGGGTGAAAGCCTGCTGTGCCCCTGCTCCTCTGAAGCCCTCCAGTGCCCCCAACAGCCACGGAGCACCCTGCCAACCCCCAGCACAGCCAGAGGTAAGCAGAGCCCATGGTGGGAGCGGTTTAACCCCAGGCAGTGGGAGGAGGCAGCTGAGTGGGCCGAGGAGGGTCTTGCCTCA